GGATAGGATAATACTTGGCTCCTTTAAAAAAAGCACTAGGGAAAGCCTTAATGAGAAAGGGACATTTGAGTAAACATCTGAAGCTAGTTTTAAACATAGTAGTGGGAAGTTCTGGGTTGGGGGGAGAGAAAAAAGAGAAATTACTAACTTTTATTTTGATCTCTCCGCATAATAGATTGGCCAAAAAGTCCATTTGGGTTTTTGCATAAAGCTCAATAGTTTGAATTTGCTATGCCTGAGGACATATGTTTATTTTCTAGGGTCTAAACTTTAGGATAATGGGCTAATTTTTTCTCTATATTTACCTATAATAAAAAAACTAATTAATATGATTTTATACTAATGAAATGAATACTGGAACCCAGAGGCGTTGAGGTGTTTGCCTTTTCCTGGAAAGGTGAAGCTAGAGTTAGGATATAACTGTGACTTTAAAGGCCAACTAGTTGAACCTGACCCAGTGAATGTGATCAGTTCTTTCGCAGTTGTGTCCTAAACAAAAGTACTCTATGCCTTTTACTGTTACCATTTTGCTAAGACTGCAACTAGATTAGTCAGTATTCATCAACAGAGTTATGAGAAACTGCAATGAAAATGGAAGGCTGACCAAGTAGAAAGTCTGAAGCAGGCCTTATGATTTTCCTACCTGTAGATTTGAGAAAGAGAATTTTTTGCTACCAAATAATGAGGTTATTATAGCATGTGTGTTTGTGTATAGCCATGTCCGACTCTTTGCGGCCCCATGGACTGTAGCCCGCCAGGCTCCTCTGATGATGAAATTTTCCAGGCAAGAATACTGGAATGGGTTGTCATTCCCTTCTCCAGGAGATCTTCCTAACTCAGGGATCGAACCCATGTCTCTTGTATCTCCTGTATTGGCAGGAGGATTCTTTACCACTAGCGCCACTTGGGAAGCCCATATAAGTGCCAGTATTTTTTTTTTTTTTTTGGTCTGAATTTTAGTGTTTGAAATTATTTTACTACAAGCTGTATTTTTACTTGAAATAGAAATTTGCTGGTATTTACAAATGTATGAGCAAAATACTGCCATGTAAGCTGAGTAAACTATACACTGTTTTTGGATAATCTTACACACATACATTTATTTCTCTTTTAAAAAATTTATTTATTTTTGGCTGTGTTAGGTCTTCTTTGCTGTGTGGGCTTTTCTCTAGTTGCGGTGAGTGGGGGCTACTCTCTAGTTGAGATGCATGGGCTCTCTTATCGTGGAGCGCGGGCTCTAGGACACGTGGGCTTCAGTAGTTGTGGCTCCTGGGTCTACAGCACAGGCTCAATAGTTGCGGCATATAGGCCTAGTTGCTCCGTGGAATCTTCCCGGATCAGGAATTGAACCTGTGTCTCTTGCGTTGGCAGGTGAATTCTTCACCACTGAGCCACGAGGGAAGCCCCACACATGGTTATTTCTAAAAGAGTTTATTTTAATTACAGATGATTACCTTTGATTAATCAGTATTTAAAACATTACATTTATGTCCAAAGCCCCATTAACCACCCACCACCCCAGATCCCAATGATCTCTAAGAGATAAATGACTCCTGTGACCACTTTGATATGTATTTTATAGACTTTTTCTGTGAATTTTCATACATATACACAAACTGATAAGAGGGTTATTTTAAATATATAAATGGCATTTATTTGTCTATATCTATGCCCTGCTTTATGCCAATAGCATTTCTTAGAGTGTTTCCCATGCTAGAAGATGGAGATCTACCTCTTGACTCTTCCTTTGCTGCACAGCAGTCCATAAAATAGTTATATCATCAAGTCATTCCCCTCCTGTTGGACATCTAGATTGTTGCACGCTTTTCTGTTACAGCAATGCAGCAATAAATGTATTTAGTCATGACTCTGCAGTGCATGTGAGCCAGTGATTGGGCAGTGGTTCTTGAAGTGTGGTTGCCCAAGCATCAGCCTCACAGGGGAACTTGTTAGAGGTGCAAATTCCTAACCACCTCTCTGGACCTACTGACTCAGAAACTCTAAGGGTGGGGCCCAGTAATCTGTATTTCAATAAGCCCTCCAGGTGATTCTGATGCATGGCAAAATTGGGGAACCACTGGCATTTAAATGTTTAAGAGATGACTAACTTGCTTTCCAAAATGCTTGCAACAATTTATACTCCCACTAACATGCTTCCTACACCCTGGCCAATATTACCTGTTATTAAATTGATTAATTTTTGCCAGTCCAATAGTTATATTTCTCTTTCCTCCCTCTCCCTCCCTTTCTCCTCTCATGTTCATATATGTATGTGTATGTATGTGTACATACATATGCACACATACGAATTTACCTTGTAAGGGATGTCTCCCATAAATATACAGATTGAAAAAGAATCTTGAAAAGTGTGAAATAGGTGGCAAGGCAGTGCTGAAATGGGAAGAAGAGGAGCTAAAATGAATATGCAAGAAAAGATAAGAAAAGCCTATTAAAAAGGGAGAGAAAAAGAAAAAGAATCCCATTTCCATTTATTTATTTTTCACTTCTCCCTTTGCTCAATAGGACTCACTCACTTTATGAGATAAGATACTTTTGGCCTTGTTGAAATTTGATCTGTCACTCTTGCCAGTTGACATCTCCAAAAATGCAGCTTAAACTGTTAATCCATTCACTTCAGCTAAACGGTCCTAAGGGCATCAGATTCTTGTGTTGATCAGTGTTGGGTTCCCTGGCCCTGACAAGCTGTGAAGATCCAGATGATCAGGGGAGCATGATGGCTGTGGCTGGCGAGTCTGGGGCCTCTAACAGCGACGGTGGCAGAAAGGAGGCTCAGGCAGGTGTCAGATGCTTTCCTGTAAAGGGGTTGGCAGTGGACATAAATGCTGCCAGCTGGGCACATTACCAAGCAAGAAAGCCATAATGATTTAATAATTAAATCACATTGGTCTATGATCATTGTTCTCATTAGCAAAGATCATTGCTTTTTGATGATATATATTATATGAGACAGAATTTTCATACAAACACTGTGATTTGCATATATATGTGGTATATATTTGCATATATATATATCCAAGTCAGAATGACTTACTAAAAGTAATCACCAAAAAGAGGATGGAATTTTGATGTAAAGATGCCAAGGATATTTAAGAAAATGTGGAAATTATGAAGATTAATTTGACATCACCCCTCTAGAGTCAGATGCAGTTTCCATTATGTGAAAGCAGCAGGAAGAGAGAGGACTCCGGGCTGGATCCATCTCTGTTGTACAATAAGGTTTTTGTACCTTGATATTGCAAACTATGATATTATTAAGAAAATATCAATAATATATATATGAATTGCACAAGTTAATATTTCATTTCTAAATAAAGAACCTGCTTTCCTGCCCTCGTGACTCATAATATCCTATCTTGGAGGGGAGATAGGTTGTTGAGAGGAAAAGAAGGGAGAGAAAGCCTTTGAACTCATGAAAGAGCTTTCAATCTCTAGGAGCCTTGAGCAGTAGCCCTGTGACAGGCAGGGATGTTGCAGAAAGTATCTTTTTCTAAATTTTTTTTGTTACTATTCATTGCAATTCCCAGTTGTAATGACTTGTAAGTGCAGCTCCTAGGATCCACTCCAGGGTACAAAATTTAATGGTGAGTTGCAGTGGCAAAGCAAAGCAAGGCATTTCTCCCACTCGTCTGCACCCCGGGCCAGCTACATCATTTGTGGGGCTTGGTACCAAATGAAGAAACAGGGACCTCCTTTTCAGAAAGCAGGAAAAAGTGCTGGCAAGGGGCTGCAATAGAAAGCTTGGGCCTACCTTCCATGGTCTCTCATTTTGTAGACTGGTGACAGTATTTTTTATCTGCTATTTAGTACTGTGAGTTGTAAGGAAAATTAAAAATTTAAATCATCAGCATTATTTTACCGTTCATCTTTATATTGTATAATGCCAAAAAAAATACAGATACAAGAACTTTTACTTGAGCTATGGAATCACCAAAATTATAGTTTGTATTTTCTAGCTTATACATGAGTATGTATTTTCTTCTTGTCAGGATAGTGGAAACACTGCATAAAACTAATTCAGCAGGTTTTATTTCATTTCTTATTACATGTGCATTCTATCAACAATCTCTACCTTTGGTATACTGATGAATAAGGAAGGGCTGAAAGGGAAAAAGACCAGGGGTAGTCCTATCTTTCCCTTTCCTTTTATGTCATCATTTTGGTGTGTGTGGTTGCCTAAGGCAGTGAAGTAACAGGAGTAAGATAGAATTCTTATCTTATTCTTATTCACATTCTTAGAATGCCACTGCTGCCTTTTGGTGGTCAAAGCAAAGTCTGGTTCCAGTTGAAAGAGCCCTCCTGTGGCTGTCAGAACCCCCACCTATTCAGTCCTAGATGTAGCATACTTGTGCTCGCTTTGAGTGTTGCTGAACTCACACGTGTTGTGGGTCTACCAGAGTTCTGTGCTTCCAGGGAGCATTTTGTATGCTGTGTGCAAATAGAGCACAATAGAAGCTGTGGACAGAAATGTCGTGCTTGGCTCCTTTACTCACAAACGTGCTTTATTGTCCCCTTGGCCTCCACTTCCAAAATCACATTCAGACATAAAATTGTTAAGCCCTTCAGACAGTGACAACAGAGCGTTAAATCCAATGTGAGGTTCTTTTGCACGGGGCCCTGTGTGACTGCACTGGTTGTGCACCCATGAAGCCAACTCTTTCTGTGTCAGGGGAAGCTGCAGGACAGCTGGAAGCCTCTTTCATGCGCTGTGTCTGAAGGAACCCCTCTCACAGCAGCCTGCACTACTGCCCGTAGTGTATCCACACAAAATGGTTTCCTTGAAACTGATGGAATGCACTGATTTCAGACTCAGTTGAATAAATATCTTAGAGGCAGTTGGATCTATTTGAGGGCTCCCAGCTCCATGAGGAGTACCTTTCTGATGGGCCTTTGAAACTCCAAGGCTAAAGCTACAGTCAGGTACTTATCATCAAATCAATCTCTAGATCCCTTACAGTCATGTTTGTTTGTCTTTCTCCTAGGATTTCCAGCAGGAGAACTCCAGAAGCCTTTCTTTTGGGGAACAGAATATCCTCGGTAAGTAAACTAATAAGAGAAACCAGTTACTGACAGGGAAGGAAGAACATGATGTTTGGCAGAGCACAGAATGTAAAGTAAAAAAAAAAAGCAAAACCAAACAAAAGAAGGCATGGAACCCAGCATGGATTAGTCCCCATTCTCATCATGTTAGTTGTTTCCTGATGCTTGTTACCAGGTTGTATGATTGGATAAGAAAGCTAACCTGTACACTGGGAGCTTTCATTTGTTATGCATTTGTTTACTTATGTATTGATGCATACTGGAAATATGTGAACCTTAAAGGACTGTTGGGATTTGAGTTTCTGGTGATGGATTTAAACCCATTCCAAATGGAAGAAATGATGTGAAAAAAGGGAAGAAAATTGCTTTTAGAATAGCAAAGAGTCTAGTTTGGCGAGTCCAAGTGTTGTTTGAAGGGAAATAGTAGAAAAGAAGTCTGGAAAAGGAGGTTGATGTTTGATATTGGAGTGTTCTGAATTCCAGTAAGGAGTCTGGACATTAGGCAATAGAAGATACTGATGTTTTTGAGCAAGTAGAGATAGTGAAGTTTGTCTTCAGAAGCATAATCTAGGTAGCTATACAACAGGTCAGAAATGGACAGTGTATGGAGTTAGGGATTTCACTTTATAGGCCGTCAATACCAACTGACTGTAGACTCATGTAATTCAGAATTTCCAGACATAGTGGGAATTCTAATAATCATTGTCAGTTATATCACCACTTTTATTATGTGCCTTTGCTTGCTCTGATGCTTTAATGCATGAAAACTGTAGTCTTGGTTTTAGTAGTCACTTATATTTTGGTTTAGATCAGTGACAACTTGAATAGGATTCTGCAGGTTAAAAAGATATAGGATCACATACATATATAAATAAGAGAAATACAGTGGCAATGTTGTTATTTGGGCTTTCCCAGAAGCAGATTCTGTAACAAGGATTCAAGTGCAAGTAGTTCTTCTCAGAGGTGACACCAGGAAATACCACCAGGGTAGTGAGGAAGTGGGACAGGGAAGGAAGGAAACCAACTAAGTGGGTCAGATGAATTTTCTATGATGGTCATAATGAGTTACCACAAATGAAGTGGCTTAAAACAATGTAAATTTATTAGCTTACAGTTCTGTAGGTCAGAACTCCAACCTGGGTCTCTCTGTGCTAAACACAAGATGTTGTTAGGGCAGCATTTCTTTCTGGAAGCTATAGGGAGGAGTGTGTTTCCTTGCCTTTTCTAGCTTCTGGAGGTGGCCCACATTCCTTGGCTCATGGCGCTCTTCCTCCATCTTCCAAACTAGCAAAGTTGCATTGCTCTGACCATGCATTCATTCATAACCACATCTCATTCTGGCTCTCCTTATCTGCCTTCTCCTCCACTTAAAAAATTATTTATTTTTGGCTACTCTGGCTCCCCGTTGCTTCAGGAGGGCTTTCTCTAGTGGCAGACACCAGGAGATACTCTCTAGTTGTGGTGCACAGGCTTCTCATTGTGGTGGCTTCTCTTGTTGTGGAGTATTTGGCTCTAGGCGCACAGGCTTCAGTAGTTGTGTCACATGGGCTTAGTTGCTCTGAGGCATGTGGGATCTTCCTGGATCAGGGATCAAACCTATGTACCCTGCATTGGCAGGTGGATTCTTAACCAATGGACCACCAGGGAAATTCTCCTTCACTTTTTTTTAAGCCAATTATTACTGTGGGCAACTTGAATTCATTTCTGCTGGAAAACTGTAGAATAAGCTTCAGCACAATTTCATCTCAGGGGCAAGGGAGCTGGGGTATTTGTTTTCCAACTCACTTTCCACAACTGATTGAAGGCTGCCACTGGGTGTTTTAACTCACTGGCATTGCCTTGCATATGCCTAGAGGACTCTGGTGGCCAGAGAAAGCCCTCAGGCAACTAGTTTCAGGTGCTGGCAGTTAGAAGCTGTCAGATTGGTGTGCTTAAAAATAGAGAGTGCTCAGGGACAGGATCAGGCATCGATAAAGCCTCCCATAGGGAAGCACTGTCATTAGCATACATAAAATTGACCAGTTTGTATGGACAAAACCCATTCATGTCATCCCGGGTTTCAGCTGTATAGTTTTCATCAGTTTAGTTCAGTCACTCGGTCGTGTCCAACTCTTTGTGACCCCACTTCCCTGTCCATCACCAACTCCCAGAGCTTGCTCAAACTCATGTCCATCGAGTCAATGATGCCATTGAACCATCTTGTCCTCTGTCATCCCCTTCTCCTCCTGCCTTCAATCTTTTCCAGCATCAGGGTCTTTTCCAATGAGTCAATTCTTCACATCAGGTGGCCAAAGCTGAGCTTCAGCTTCAGCATCAGTCCTTCCAATGAATATTCCAGACTGATTTCCTTTAGGATTGACTGGTTTGATCTCCTTGCAGTTCAAAAGACTCTCAATAGTCTTCACCAACACTACAGTTCAAGAGCATCAATTCTTCTGCACTCAGATTTCTTTATGGTCCAACTCTCACATCCATACATGACTACTGGAAAAACCATGTTTTGACTAGACACACCTTTGTCGGCAGTTTTCATCAGTGTTCAGAGAGTTTTAATCAGTGTTCAAATATTTGTAATCAATTTTTTATATTGTTAAGATTAGAATTTTATATCTATTTCCATAAAGTTAAAGACAGACTAAATATTCGCTAAGCTTGCTTCAAACTAAAGAGGGTCCTAGAATTTTTTGATGTTGCTTATCATTAGCAGTTAAACTGATCTGTTATTGTGGTTATATACCTGGACATTTGGACATAGTCAGGTTGGAGTTTGAATTTATTGATCAGTGAATTTGTTTATTGTGTCCATGAGATGATTTTCTGATATAAAAGTCAAAATCATAGAAACTTAGGAAATGTTGATGTTCACCTTTATGCTGAGCGAGAGAGAGATTTTTGTTTTTTTCCTAGGGGTTCTGTGTTTTGCATTGAAGTCATCCATCCTCTGTTAAGATATCCATTCAATAATTATTAAGCATCTTTTGGACACTCAGCATTGGAAATATGGTGATGCTATTGAGATGGGAATCACAGTGTAGTGAGATGGGTTCCCATATGTCCATGTCTTCTAGATGGATCTCCTCCAGATCCAATGAGTGGGTATTCTCTCTCCTCACACTGGTCAGCTTAGCCCCCTCATGAGTGTTGTGTCTAATTGTGGTGATATCAACAAGTTGAATTGTTTCCAGAGGAAAAAAATCAGGATTTTTAAATGGCCTAGGACAGCATATTCCAAAGTGTGTGTCCCATGAAGTAGTAATGGAGATGAATCGTCCTTCCCTTCCCTTTCTTTTGGAGAATCACAGTACTTAGCAGCGTAGAAATTCCCAAGAAGTTCTTCAAGAAAAATCTATCTAAATGTGTTTAATTCAGAGTTCCTAACCTCCCTTTTTCCCGTGTTTTGGAAATTGTTGGCCTCGAATTCATGACTGAAGAGAAAGAGTTGAAAGAACTTGAGAAGAGAGTACTTGAGGGATAACCTCATAAGTATCTTCATGTTTTTGAAAGAAAGTTAGGGTGGCAAAATCATTGAGTAAATTTGGGGAGGTCAGAGGGTATTCATCTAGAACACCTTGTGCCACCACACCAGACCAATAGATAGGAGAGAGATTCCAGGTCAGCATTAAGGAGCGCTGTTTTATCTAGAACCACTCAAAGAGGGAATGGGCCGCTTCAGAAGGGGATGAGCTCCTGGTTATTGGACATGCCTAAGAAGAGAACTCTTAGGACCGTTTGAATAGGTTTTTGTAGAGGGGACTTATGCCTCTGCTAAGGAATTGAACTAGATGACCTTAAAGCTGCTTGTAACTCTGAGATTTTTATGAATTTCCACGTCAGGCATAGAGTAGCCTTTGCTTAATGACAGAGTGAGATCACAATTGCTTTGTTGTTGACAGCAAATCCTGTGCATATGTGAAACCCATTGGGAGGTAAGAACAAAAGAGAAACTGAGTAGGTGGAAAAATTGTCATCTTTTCCATTTTATTTTTGGAAGGCTAGATTTTCTCTGCAGGAGTCTTCTTGTTTCTGGCCAGTCAGTCACATTTTAAAAGGCATACGAATTTATTTATTTATTTTTATGACATGCTAATTTAAATAATGTCCATTGATAAAATGAAAGATGCAAATTTAGTGTTATGAAACATTATCATTGTCAGGCTTAGTCATCTAAAATTACTTTTACTTTTGTCTCTTGTCCAAAGGATTGTGATTATGTAACTGAGAATTGAAACTTACAATGATTCAATCATTTTCTGAATTCTCTATTACCCTTTGTGAATAGGAAGCTCGTTGGAGCAGTCCCTCTTAAGGGACATTTATTGCAGAGCAGTTGCTATAAGCCCCCGTGGTTCATCCCTTAAATTCATCCAGTCAACAGCATTGACTGAGGCTTGTAGAGGACTGAGTACTATTCTTGGAGCTAAGAGTCCTGGAAAAACGAAATGTTACAGGCTGCATAGTGAAAACTACTGCTGCAAAAATTAGCTCTATATAGAATTACAAGTTTGTCCCACCCTGCTCTCATAGCTCTATGATTGAAATGCATCATTTTACTCTTACTTCTTTAATGAAGGTTTGCAATGATGGAAAAACAGTAGGAAAGCATTTTTTTCAAATGCAAATTACCTTGCAGGAAAGAAATAACAAAGGAAGGAATTGCCACCACGGGGAAAAATTAAATCTTGCAGCACTTCCTTGGGTATAGTTGTGACAAGCAATTAGCATGTTAAGGATCATTATGTCCTGTAATAACGTGTTGCTTCAAATTTCTTGTTCCTTCCACTTATAGGTCCTATCTAGTGCTGGGTGATTTTGATGTTGCATGTCAGGAATCAACTGTGAAGTATTTTTGTATAATTACAAATCTCAGGAAGAATCCTTATAACAAGGATTTAAAGTTGTCTATAATCCTCATGCACACATTGAATGACTAAAATAAGTAACATATTGATGTGTCACTTGCAAGAAATGGTCAAGTTAATCAGTTAGTTAAATCATTGTTACTCATTTACTGTGTCCTAGATCCAGAGAATTTAGCAGCAATCAAGTAGATAAGGGTTTTGTCTTCAGGGAACTTTTAGTTGAAAGAGAAGATCCCAGACATAGACATAGGGAAACCCCCTTACTGATTTCCTGATATGTCATTTATATGTTCTCTTTCAGTTACCTATTGCTATGTAACAAAGTGCCACCACTGTTAGCTCATGATTCTGCAGTTTGGGCAGTACTTGAGTCAAGACAGCTTATTTCTGCTCCATGTAGTATTGGCTGAGCAGCTCGATTGGGGCCATGGGATCTAAGATGACTTCACTCACATGTCTGGTGGCTTGGTTGGGCTGGCTCGAATGGCTGGGCTTCTCTCGTCCTTTAGATGTCTCTCAATGTTTGGCAACTCTCACTTGCTTCACTTGGCATCTCCAGCTCATTACTCCAACTTCTTTACATTGCAACTGACTTCCAAGAAGGCACAAAAATGGAAGCTGTAAGGCCTCAGCCCTTACACCTGGCCCCTTGCACTGCATTCTGGTGGCCACAGCAAGTCCCGAGGCCCGTCCAGTTTCAAGGGGAAGGAAATAGATCACCTCTTGGTGGGAGGCAGGGCACACACATTCAGGGTGTGTGGAACTGTCAGCAGTCGCCTTTGTAGGTGAACAGAAATACTCTAACACCTTTTCCAAATCTGGTTCAGGCTTCATAGTCTTTGCTGTCTGCCTGTGAATTTGTCTGTCACAGAAGCAGAGGAATGTGACTACCTTTGAAAGCAGGGTGATCCCTTTTAATCTCTCCTCTATTCCTGTTTTATGTCTACATTTGGAAAACAATTTAACTTCTAAGTCTATAGTGATTTTTCAACAGATGAAAAATAAACAGTATGTTTACTGACAGGATCTTCTCAAAATCTGCTACTGCTTTGGGTGTTTATAAATATAAACTGCAGTTAGAGTGGGTATATATACCCACAGAAGCCTCAGGGCTGAAAGGGACTTTAGAAACCATCACTTTCATATCCCTGATTTCACTGGGTAGAAACTAAGGCTTACATATGCCCATAGTGACACCATTAGAAATTATAGTTTGTCTATTTCAATGACAAGGATGTGTTTACTTTTTTTTCTTATTACAATTTTGTGGATGTGGTTAGTAGAAAACAGATTGTCTTGGCTTTTCATTGAAAAAAAATAAAGAATTATGCTCTGACATTCATGCTTATAATTTTAACTCAATTATGTATTTATGCCATAGATCTCTGAGTTATGGTGCTATAGGAGTAATTGTTGGACATGAATTTACACATGGTTTTGATAATAATGGTAAGTACCAATTCAATGTATAAGCTGATGCTTTTATGGTCATGTTGATGATATGGATGTTAATTGTTGCTATTATCTTTGGAGAGTGGCATCGTCTTAGACTGAAGATTATCCAAAGCAGTATAATTGCTGATTGAAAACTCCCCCCATGTCTTGTTGTATTAGCTTGCAATAAATAAATAATTGTTCCTGTTGGAGATGGGTTAGAATTAAAACAGACCTTGTAATTTCAATGAAATTAGTTTTGCATTTAGATCTGAATTGCTGTAGCTGCCACAGTAGTTATAGGAATGACTTTATAGCTTCTCTTCCTTTCTTTATTCACCATTTTGAGATGCTCTCCCTGGAGGTGTGAGCTCTGCTCTGAAGATGAGTATACATGCTGCCAAGTTAGGACTCAGGCAGTTAGGACTCTGAAACTTGGCTAACTGATTCCTTTACACTATTTCAAGGCTTATGCAATATTTAATCTCTGTTTTCCTCTATGCTGTCATGTATTCAGAATTCCTTTTAGAAAGGCTATGTTTTCCTGATAATGCATAATATAGAGTACGGTATGTATCTTGATGACATAAAAGCTAAAAGAGCAGAGTATTGCACAAACTAAAGAAATGATTGCCCTTTGAAAGTCATCATATTTAATCAGAACTCCTTTCTCATTTGGGCTTACCAGGTGGCTCAGTGTTAAAGAATCCACCTGCCAAGCAGGAGATGTGGGCTCGATCCCTGGGTTGGGAAGATCGCCTGGAGAAGGAAATGGCAACCCACTCCAGTATTCTTGCCGGGAGAATTCCATGGACAGAGCGAGCCTGGCACACAGTGATATACAGGGCAGACTCAGGAACTGCCTAGCCCAAGGCAACACTGTTTAGAGGGACCTCTTTCTTCCGTATCTGTGAGATCTCCAATATCCTTTCCTGGATGTCTACCCCAGGGCCAGAGACCCTTTTGGTTCTTCTCCTTCTGGATAATTATTTACTCCCAGCAGCTTTCCTTAATCACCAGAGTTTTTTGCTCCCCTTGCCACCCCTCCCTGTTGAAATGTAGCTGCCTGGGAGTCACCTGAATCCCCTGAGCTATATTTGGGTTATCTGAGAAGAGAGTCTTAGCTAAGAAACAAAAGCCAGTAGTGGTCTCTTGGTTCTAGGCTTTTTTTTTTTTTTCCCCCTGGGAAACTTCAGTATAGTTCTCCCTCAGAATCTTCTGGCAGCCTTTTGGACAGAATCTAAAGATGGGATTTCATTCCGTAACCAATGCTTAGAAGAGTGCATTGCACAGTAACTATTTAATGATCACTTGGTTAGCAGGTCAAGGACAGTGACTCGGAGCTCTCCAGGGGTGGGGGGATTGGGGTGGTAGTGGCTTGCAGCCTTGCTGAAGAGCTCTGGGTCATTTTCCTTAACACCTTTGCTTTGGGGACTTTCTTCTAAGCTCAGTGAAGAGTTCTCTGTGTAATTAAATTTAAACCAATAACAACCTTGAGTACAGGAGATAGTCCAGATACACCTAGAGGTGTTTTTTTTTTTTTTTTTGAGGGATACAGGGAAAATGAACAATGAACCTGTAGCAAAAAAGCATGTATAACTCATCTTTATTTCCATTGTGTTTTGGAGATTTCCATTCTTGTTCCAAGTTCTCTTTTTAGAGCAACCTTCCTTGTCAGAGCAGGACAGATGGGCCTTCCATCTACACTGATGGCTGTGGAATGATTCATAAGAGAGGTTTTATATGTCTCTTGGCTGCTGGCAACTTGGAGGAAACACGATCCTTTTAGCGCTGAGTCAGGGGCTGTGGTCGCAGGGTGTGAGTGACTCACCGAGGCTGTTCCTATGGATCATTTGGAATTTCACAGGCAGCGGTGCTTTGACTCCTTCCATGGGCTTTCTGAAGGCAGCCATTTCATTTCATAATTTAGAGAATATTTGGGGTCAGAGCGGGTAGAAACAATCTGAGATTGGTCAAGAATGGTACATGCCATAAGTTGATAAACCTTAAAGTATTCTTGGTTGCTTAGAAGTAAAGAACTTCCTCAGACCTTTTTCGCCTTTCCTCACTTTTTACCATTAATTAACCTGTGACACTGGAGAGAAAGCAGGAAGTGCTTCCAGGAGTGGTCCCTGATGCTGAGACTGTGTTTTCATGGCTTGTAGAAGTAAAGGAAAGGGAAGATGAAGAAATTTATTTGTTTCCATAAATAATGCAAATAAATTTTAACTTTCCTTTTGGTCAGGTCGAAAATATGATAAAAATGGAAACCTGGATCCTTGGTGGTCTCTGGATTCAGAAGAAAAGTTTAAAGAAAAAACAAAGTGCATGATTAACCAGTATAGCAACTATTATTGGAAGAAAGCTGGCTTAAATGTGAGTACAACTGCAGTGAAGGGGATATGTTGTGAGTCATTTGTCCTCATGTAGACACTAGCTTGCTTTCAACCATTGGTAGTCAAAATGTATTTCCCAGGCCAACAGTGTCAAACTCTCTGGGGAACTTGTCAGGAATACAAATTAGTCTTAATTCAGACCTACTGACTCAGAATCTTGGAGCTGGGGAGTGAGGGTGTAGGGGTGGGTGGGGGGGTGGGGCCTGGTAGTCAAGCGTTTTGTCTTTTCATAAGCCCTCTGTTGATTCTGATAAAAGCTAAAGTTTGAGAATTATAGGCCTAAACATTAGTCTGTTCTCCTAGATTCAGATTAGTATAGAAAACTGTGTAGCAAAGATAAACAATAAAATTCTCAAAAATCTAAACTCTGTGTCATTAAAAAGATTTCTTTCCAAACTACTGCTTAGCTTTAATTCATTGAAAAAGAAATCACCAATTTAAAGAGGGAATAGCAACCCACTCCAGTATTCTTGCCTGGAGAATTCCATGCACAGCGGAGCCTGGTGGGCTACAGTCCATGGGGTCTCACACGACACGACTGAGCACACATGCCACAATTTAAAAAAATTTTTGAATTTGTTTGTTTTTTATTGAAGGATAATTGCTTTACAGAATTTTGCGGTTTTCTGTGAAACTTCAGCATGAATCAGCCATAGGTATACATATATCCCCTCCCTTTTGAACCTCCCTCCCATTTCCTTCTCCATCCCACCCCTCTACGTTGATACAGAGCCCCTGTTTGAGTTTCCTGAGCCATACAGCAAACTCTTGTTGACATGCCACAATTTGAATTAATAACTCTGAATTGGTTAAGAGTTCTTATATAAAGAAGTTTGAGCAAAAAATATAACTTTTAAAATGTTGATTTTCTCTTATATATACTTATATGCATTCTTATAAAGACACAAATGTGATTTTATACATGCTTTTTCTGTGTGAAATATTGTTCTTTTCCTTTTTTGTCTTCACCTCTACCTCCTTCCCCTTTCCCTCCCATCACTTTTATCTTTCCCACCTATAATCCATCTCAATAACCCTGATACACTTTTTCCCCATGCTCACGTAGAGATACACACACACATACGCATACACATGTGTGTACACCACGCACCTGCCTTTACTTCATTGTTTTCAATGGCTGCCTAAAAGTCCATGGTGTGAATGTACTCTTAACACAGTGGTACCCAACCTTTGTGGCATGAGGGACCAGTTTCAAGGTAGACAGTTTTTCCATGGATGGGGTGGGGGACGTGGTTTTGGGGTGATTCATGTGCGTTACATTTACTGTGCACTTTGTTTCTATTATTATTATATCAGCTTCACCTCAGATCATCAGGCATTAGATCCCGGAGGTCGGGGACCCCTCATCTAACACAGCTGACTAATGTCTTGTTGAGGGGTTATACTGTGCCTCCAATTATTCCTCCATAATAAATGCTGCTGCACTAAATGCTCTTATTATGTGTGTGTATATATATATATATATATATATATATATATATTTGCCCTGTAGGATAGTTTCCTACTGTTCCTAAGATGTTATAATATTTCATATTTGTACCAGTGACATGTGGAAAAACATTTATGTATTATTTTCTTGTCAAGTTATGAGAACTTTAAAAAATATTATAGATGTTAAAATTTTATCTGTCATTCATATTATAGTATTTCCCCCTCAGTATATTTCTCATCCATTGTACTCTGTATATGGTATTTTTTGACAAACAAAATTTAAATATTTCCATAGAGTCAAAAGATACCTCTTTTAAAAAACAGTTTATGTATTTCCATTCTATATCATATATGAATTCTCCTAGCTTTACTGGGAAGGATTTTTTTTTTAATTGTTTTGTCATTTTGCATTTAAATATTCACACATGTGAAACTTATTTTGCTATGGAGTTTAATATGAAAGTTCACTTTTATCTTCTTCCAAAAGGATAAATTGATCCAGTATCACTGATTAAAATATGTTTTTTCTTACTGAATTGAATATTGGTGAAATATTAGAATCTCATATATACTGAGATAAATTTCTGGTTTATATATTCTAGTCCACTGATCTACTTATTGATTTCTGTACCAGTGCATTTTTACTGTGGCTGTATGGATTTTTCTGGTATCTGCCAATATAAGCTCTCCCTCACTGTTCTTTTATATGGTTGGCCATTCTCAGGCAAATATACGTCTGTATAAATTCCAAGATCCTTTTACCCACTCCCCAAGAAAATCCCATTATGATTCTAAGTTGTGTGCATGTGTGCTAAGTTGCTTCAGTTGTGTGTCCGACTCTTTGTGACCCTATGGACTGTAGCCCACCAGTCTCCTCTGTCCATGGGATTCTCCAGACAAAAATACTGGAGTTGGTTGCCATGCCCTCCTCCCAGGGGATCTTCCTGACCCAAGGATCAAACCCACGTTTCTTGTGTCTCCTCCATTGGCATATGGCTTCTTTACCACTAGCACCACCTGGGAAGCCCAAGATTCTAAGTTAAATCACATTAAATGTATGTAATTGGCATTTCTGTCATAGTACTGTTGTTCAAGTATGTGGTATATCTTTCCATCTGTTTGGTTTTTGTTTCAGGCTTTCAAATACAATTTTACAGTTTTATCTGTGTAGTTTATCTCATGTATGTTGTTTATTACTTCTTTTTCCTTTTCTTATTTTGCTGGTTTGATCAGGTTAGCTTTCATTCCCTTCCCCCACTATAATTTTTTTTCTTGTAGTTTTCCAGTTGCATTTTCTGTCCCTGCTTTCATAATTATAAGACACAGATTTCTCTCATGGTATTTGACAATGAGACAAATAATGAAGAATTGTTGGTAGGTTATGGGTCTGCATGAAGATATTCCTCTAAAACACTTTGAAAACTGTGTGCTCCTAATTTGTCTAGTCAAGGGCACAGCACCTAAGAAAAGCAGGAGACCCCACAAAACCGGGGCAGATGGATGTATGTACACGTGGTTTCCCTAGAGTCTCTTGGCCCATCATCAGTCAAGCATGTCCTCTACCCAATAATTTCCTGGGGCTGGGAAAGCACCTGAAACCTCACTATGCCTCAAGTCTAGTCTACTGAGCTATATTTCACCGCTCCAGAAGAAGTCAGGTAAAAAAATCCATGCACTTTTAAAGGGAATGTTTATAAACACTGAGTTGGTTCTGCTGGTTATTGATCTATGTACAGCACAAGGGAGACCACTCCTTATCTGGGACGTGAAAGCAGAGTCTGTATCCTTGAGTCTGTATCTCTAGCTCCTTCATCAGTGCCCTGGAAAGTCATTTCGCTGCCCATGTGTTTTTAAAATGTCTACAAAAATGTCATGGGAAGACCTAAAACAGATACCTCTGTGTTTCTGTTTTCAATTCAGGGGTTATCGCATTGTGAAAATCCATCTAGAAAACTAGCAAAGTATTCTCTAAACTTAAAAAAAATGAAAAGAATAGGGGAAGGATTCTAGAGTCAGACACAGGTCCATATTTTGGTTCAACCAATCGCAGGTTGTAAGTTTTTTTTAACTTAGGCAAGTTATTAAACATTCTGGTGTCTCAGAGACTTCATCTGTGAAACGGGTAACTATTTTTTTAACTCTTTATTAGCTTGTCATAAGAATTAAATAACTGAGATAAAGCACTGGCACAATGCCTGCTATGCAATAAGTACTCAATGAATTATGCTCAATATTCCTAATACTTCGTGACATACTCGTAGGTACACCATCCCAGGGGAGAACAAACAATAGTGGCTAAAAAAAACCCAACAAAACCAAAAAAACAATAGAAGAGCAATTTTCTTGGAGGAAGGGAAAGCATATTTCCTGGTGATTATTATATACAGGCATGGAGATTAGACTTTACACTTGGAACAAATTTCATCCTCATAATGGTTTTGAGAGGCGTTCATATTACTAGGCTATTTTACATATGAGGAAACTGAGGCTCAAAGAGATTAAAATCCATGGTAGAATCTACATTAGAGCTTACATTGGTATGACTCCAAAACCCCTATTCTTCTTCCCATATCATTCTCTTATTTTACATCATTTGAAACCTGGGTGATGCATTGGGCGGGGACTGTTCTACAACATCCATTTTGGCCAAAGTGTCAGATACCGAAACTGAATTCTGACAAATGTGTACCTTTGCAACAAGGACGCTAGAAAGGGCATGCCCATCTCAGCATAAATCCATTCAATTGTCAGAAAACAGCTTCGGTCTCATTCCTGAGAGGAAGGGATGGCTTCCTTTGTGGATATAAAGGGCCATGCTGTATTTTTCTAGCTTCATCTGTGGAGGCGAGTCCTCTGTGCCTGAGTTATTCTTTGCTGTGGACTGGTGGGGTGGGGGGAGCTCCAGTGGAAACAGAAAAATCAGAGAAACAGGCCCTTAGCAGTCGATGAGTCCTGAGAGGCAAAATTGAAGCCATACGGTCTTCTGAGTTGGTCAAGAGTGGGAGGAGCCTGAGGGGTAAAACTACTCCTCAGACTTCTAAAAGAAGAGGAACAAGGAAGGAGTTTCAGTTTGAGCTCCAGTGGTTAGAAACAGAAGCAGTAGAGTCAAAAGGAGTTAAGACCTGAGAAGGTAACATGTTATGGAGCAAAGGCTCTGGGCAGAGATTACTTGAGTTCGAATTCTGTGAAATGTGAGTTCACTGCTTCCCTCTTAGGTCAGGTCCATTAGAACAGAGCCTGAGAAGGGGATTCTCAGATAAAGGAGTCAGCCACAGAAGTAGTTTTAGGAGAAACCTGTAAGGTGACGAGGAAAACATGCTGGTTTCAGAAGTTTAGCCTCAGTCTCATCCCTTAGAGGATTCTGGAGCATGAGTTGCATCGCAGAAATTGTTCAGCCTGGGATGAGGGGCTGGACTGTTCTAACTGCACACTGGGAGGTAACTGGTAGCATCTCCCAGCAAGCTCCAGGGGAGTGGATTCCCCTAAGCTAAGCTTAATCTTCCTCAGCCTGCAGCAGTTGCTGGGATGGGTTCACAGTCCTGGTGGGACAGGGTATCTGTTGCAGCACCAGGTGACACCTGTGACACACACTCTCAGCCTTAGAGTCCTCATTTGTCAAGCCAAGGGTGCTGATAGCAGCTCTTGCCTCATAGGACTGTAGTAAAAGAAAGATGCTAGGTAAAGCAGGAGTGCCAACTTTTGGGGACTGAAGCTAGGAGGATCCTGGGTGATTACAGAGATGAGTGTTTTCCGAAGATTTGTTTTTATTCATGGGTATTGCCTGAAACCCAGGTGTTTGGGCTATCTTAAAATAAGGAGTTGGTAGGATCGGTAGCTTGAAAATTTGGAACTATGTGTATTAGTCTCCTATTGCTGCTATAACAAATCACCACGAACTTAGTGACTTGAAGCAGCACAAATATATTATTTTGCAGTTCTGTATTTCTGATTCAGGTCTCAGTGGACTCAAGTCAAGGTGTCCGCAGGGCGGCTTTCCTTTCTAGCTGCTTTAGGAGAGAAACTTTTTCCTTGCCTTTTCTAGCTTTTAGAGGCTGTCCACACTCTTTGGCTCCTGCTCCCTTTCTTCTTCAAAGCCAGCGATGACTGGTCAGGTCTCATCACATGGCATCACTCTGACACACTCCCTCTCTTAACTTCCTTTTCCTCCACTTATATAGACCCTTGTAATTAATTACACTGGACTCTCCTGGATAATGTAGACTAACGTCTCCATCTCAAGATCCTTAATGTAATCATATTTTAAATGTGCCTTTTGCTGCAGAAAGTCATCTTTTCACAGGCCCTAGGGATTAGAACATAGACCTCTTTATTATTATAGGGCATTATTTTGTCTCTGATACAGGGATTGGCAAGCTCTTTCTGTCAAAGGCCAGACAGTAAATAACTTTGGTTTTGTGAGTTGCAAGGTCTCTGTTGCATCTACTCAGCTCTGCCACCGTAGGAAGCAAACAACTACAGACAATATGTACTTGAATGAATGTGCCTGTGTTCCCGTAGAAGTTGAGCTATAGACCCTGAAATTTGAACTTCATATAATTTTCACATGTCACGAGACATTATCCTTCTTTCTATTTTCTTGCAAACCACTGAAAAAAGTAAAACCCAGGCTTGCCCTGCAGCCTGTACGAAAACAAGCAGGAGGTTGGATTTTGACTTGTGGCCGTCTTGGTTTAGAATACTTTTTGTCCTAGCCTATTTAAGGGTTTAAGAAATAATCTTCAAGTGTTTGGAAGAATTTCTTCACTGTGCTTGGCTGGTTGTCATACATATTGCAAACCTTGACCTTGTGGTCTGAACTTCTTCTATTGGATTTTTGTTCCCCATGAGAACTATCCTCTTCTTAATTTTTCATGAAAATTGCTGAAGGTAAAATGGTAGTGGTTGGTCTTAAAACCTTATTCCTGTATGGATGGTAGATTTTTGGAAACAGAAGCTCACTAAAAAGAATATTCAAGTTATGTGAGTTAATCAGAGAAAATAATCTGTATGTTGACATTTCTATTTTTTCCCATTAAACCAGAGTCACTCAGAATATGTTAACATTTTGTTGGAGCTGGCTAAATTGGTGAAAATAGAGAGATGGGTGAGAAAGAAATGTGTAGCATAATAAAATAGAAATTAGATTCAGGAGTACCTTGCTGGGGTTCGTTTGCCATCTCACAATATGTTATGACTACCTCTGATGTATTGAATGCAATTTTCTCCTTAATATATGGCACTGTTTTCTTGCTATCATATTTATGCCTCTTGCTGAATGATGGTTGGCTGTGAAACACTCTTATTTTTTTCTTTTTCTTTTTGTTAGGTGAAGGGGAAGAGGACGCTGGGAGAAAATATTGCTGATAATGGAGGGCTGCGACAAGCTTTTAGGGTATGCACTGCAATGTTCGCTGTGATTTTACAAATTAAGCTATAAAATACCATTTGGGTGCACCTCAGTTTACACTACAGAAATTTTCTTGACGAGTTAGATTTCTATAAATTCTGTGAATTTCCGTAAATTGAATTATATTTCCCCATTGACTGTTATATTCTGTTATATGAGTAGAGCTGCATTTCTTTCCTTTTTCTTTTTGGAGAATAAAGTCACCCTAACAGTAATGTTTGTTATTAAGAATCATGTAGTTAAAAGATACTTTTCAGAGGATACTTTTAGTGCAGTCTTAAAACATGCTACAGAAATCTTCTTGCGACTAGGTTTGTAGGTGTTTTCTTTGAGTATACTCTATGCAACCCTCCTTACAGTTTTCTCTGAAAATACTAAGCTTCTAAATTACAGTCAGAGGCTAGTGTTTCACATATAGTGGGCCAGGTAGGAGTCCATAATAATGTTTTCATTATCCCCTGGTCCACGGTTAAGCAAAACACATAAGAATGATGTAGAAAGATATTCATAAAGCTATATGTATTCAGTGTCAAGAGCAAGCTATTATTCTGAGGTTATATTCTTCCTCTAATTCTAGTTAAAATATATTTTAGTTTATAAAATGATGGTGATCGAAGATTATAGTTTTCTCGCTTACCTGGCAAAATAAAAAAATTTGCTAATAGATTGGTCCCAAGATTTATTTCCATAGGGCTTGCCATTGTGTTAGATTTGTTTGTTCCCTGGTAGGAATAGAAAGAATAGCTTTTTGCGGGGGAGGAAAGGATGTTACTTAACACATGCCTACTTTGGCCCAGGTGCTTTGGTATCTGTTGAGTGAAAGGTCTTTTTGCAGATGAACCTGTCTCACTGTTAAGCAACACACCATTGACTTGCATTTCCAGGTGTTTGTTTTCTTAAAGGAAAGCTTGACAGGATACATTTTGCATATGGGGGAGGATATAGTTAATATCTGTACTGGAGGAGAAAAGAGGAAAGCCATTATTTCAGAGGGTCATCTTCTCTACTTCTCTCCCCAGGCTTACAGGAAATGGATAAACGACAAGAGGCAGGGAGTTGAGGAGCCTCTCCTACCAGGCATTGAATTCACCAACAACCAGCTTTTCTTCCTGAGTTATGCTCACGTGAGTAAGACTGAGGAAGGGGCCTCAGAGATACAATGTGGAACTTTGGCTTGCTTCCTGGGTTAAAGGTCTGGAACAAAAATTTAATGACATAACTTTTGATTTTAGCTGAAATTGTATCTTGCTGCTTATTGTCTGGATAAATTTCATGTTCTTCATGTTCTATGTGATATAATTAATTAACTGATTGAATTAAGGCTTATTGGTATTTTTTATCAAGTGAGTTACCAGCCCTGTGGTGACTCACTGGATATTTCTTTAGTATAGCCTGACTTCTTAATGTATTTGACACTATTTGTAACCATTTCTAGTGACTCATTCTCTAGAGTCTTTCTTGGCTCTGTGTTTCCTGCATTTCTCCTCCTTCACCTCATTTGCTGACTTGATCCCACCACTCTCAACCTGGGGGGCCCTCAAGTCTATGTTCCCAACTGCCAAATGAACACGTGAAGAGTACTAGAGCTGAAAACAACAGCAGCAAAGGTGAGAGGCATAGCTCCCTTTTGCGAGTTTAATGGGCTCTCTGAGCAGAAACTGAAAGAAGATGTGCCCTAAATAAGGCACAATTCTGAGTTTGAGTATCTGGCTAATGATGCAAGTGCCAGTTCTTTGTTATTGCCCTAGTTTATGTCACAAATATGTAGGCCTCATCTTCAAACAAGTCTGGGGTGGGTTGATGAAGTTCCTGACGCATGGTCTCACAGTGGGCAAATCTGTATCTGTATGCTCAAAACTAGGCAGAGGTTTTCATCAACACAATCTTTTGTTCCTAAGTGTTTTCATTCACTCCTCAGGAAGCTCACTAATTTCCATGTCTTCTTCAGTTGACTCTGGTTAAAGGATTCTCATCTGTCTGGGGTCTGTTATCTCTTAAAGTTGACATGGCAGCACTAAATAAATGATCATTTATCAACCTGACATCAGCAAAAGTGTAATCAACAACAAAGTGACTCTCCTTTCTAGTTCTCCTACTTCTATCAACATACCCTCACCGTCAGCCTTTGGGTCTTCCTGGTTAGAAAACCTGGACTCTTAGGTCTTATTTGATTTCTCCATCCTCATTTATATGACATGTGTCTCAAAAGCTGATGTTTCATCCCATTTACTGTTCTTCAGATTCAGCCTCTTTCTCCCTATTACCCTGTCTTGTGATCTGTAGACTAAGCCTCCATCTCTTTTGCTTTGAATTATCCCAACAGCCTTATGGCTGAAATACCATTTTTATTTCATAGCTGACCTGCTGAAAGAACTGCAGTGGCTCCCAGGTGCCTACCACATTGAGACCAGTGCCTTTAATGTTCTCCTCAGTCTTTTTTTTTTTTTCTCCTCAGTCTTATACGACTCTACCCAACCAGTTATAAATCCTCACAGCTCCACCAAACTCACCCTTAGCTGGGCAGGTGCCCTCACTTCCACTCCACAATGTCATGCTCATCATTGTCTCTGGTTTTGCTTTAGATTTGCCTTCTGAAAAGTGACCCTCTTTGTACTTCTCCCCCTCAGGTTATTCAATTCCATCTTTACCATTTAGGATCTATGTCAAGTTTTACCTCTTCCACATCTTCCACAAACTTCCCTATGGATTCCAGTTCTCATTTAAAAAAAATCTCCAACTCCTTTGCACTTATCTTCTTTACTATGCAGTTACCTTGTTATCAAAATGTTGAAGATTTTTATCTTCATAGCTGGTGTATTTTCATACACCTCTTATTTATCTCCATAGCATGCAACAAAGGGTATATTGAAGACACTTGAAGTTTTTAGACGAATTGCTTGAAAAGGACGAGATTAACACAGTTCAATTAAGGAGACTTTCTTTTTGTTCAGTACTGGGTCAGATATCCAAAACAAGCATGCAAATATAGATAGAACTTTCTGGAGCAGGGATTGGCAAACTAGGACCCATGGACCATATGTTGACTGCTGTATATTTTGTATTGGAAAACAGCCATGGTCTTTACATTTTGTTTATGGCTGTTTTTGTGCTACAGTGCCAGAGTTGAGTACTTAGAATAGAGACTTACGGTCTGCAAAGCCTAAAATATTTATTATCTGTCCCTTTACAGAAAATGTTTGCTGTCCCATGCTCTAGAGGACAAAGTACAAGGTCCGTCAGTTCTTATTTAAGTTTTTACTTACTTACTTAAGGTCCATCTTAGTAGATGAAGTAAACTAACTGATATTAACATTACAGTCAGTTTTGAAATGTCTCCAAATAAAATTCCAAACTATATATGACTTACTTTAAAGAGATTAAGAAGAAAAAAGGCAAGTGATTTTATATTACTAATGAGAAATTTCTCTTGGACCTTTTCCCTACTGGCAGAATGAGATTTTCAACCTTTTGTACACTGAAACAAGTCTGCTCATAAGGAGGAAAATTATTTTGTCTCCTGAGAAGGTACTAGGATAATGATAAGAACAAAAATGTGTTTTTAGAAATCTCTTAAATGATATATGAAGCAAAGACAGTACTATATAATAATGCAAGAGGAAATAACATTAGAAAAAGTGAGGTGGAATTGATTGTGAGAAACAACTTCACCTTAGCTAGCTTCTGAGGAAGTTAAGGACTCCCATTACAGAAACATCTTTAGAGTCAAATTCAGAACCACTTTGATGGATGGTTTATCTACTCCAAAAGCAGTAGCATCATATCACCTTTGCTGCTGCCTCTGTCCCCGTAGTTTCTGTCAATTTTTCCTTATTCTTATCCTTCTTTTTTCTTATTGCTCCTCATTCAGTAGATATTCATGGAGATCCTTCCTGGGGCCCATAAATAATCTTCGAACTAATCTCTCATTTCATCCTACTCCTATGCCTCTGCCAGGTAAATCTTTTGAAAATATATTTTTAATCACCTTCATGCTCATTAACAATGTTTAAGTATTGTTAAACAAGATTAGCAATACGTTAACCTAAATATGTTAGCCTCTTGCTCAGGACTTGCCCAGATCAGAAATCTGGCCCCATCCTCGCCCTTCCCTGGTCTCCCATTGCTGCCCACTATGCACCACACAGTCCAGCCAAGCTGAATGTCTTGTTTTTTTTTTCTCTCAGATATGTCTTTGTTTCCATTTTCTCCTCCACTTGGAATTCCCCCCATCATATTCATGTGTCCTAGTTCTATTCATACTTCAAGCTATATCATATTTCAAGATACACTTCAAATCGGGATTAAGTAGGTTATGGTACATGAATAAACAGTGCAAGGAAAAGTTTTCTTCTTGTTCATATTCCATGTGTAACATGGGTCGGCAGTGGGCCTCTGCTCGTAGTTACTACTCAGGACCTGGGTTTTGGAATCTTTATCTTGTAGGTGCTTCCATGGTCACTACAGGAGTAGGGAAGGAGTAGGGAGGAAATGTGCACTGCCCCTTAATGTAGCATCCTAAATTGTTTTTAATACTCTTAAAAGTTCTGCCAGATTTGTAAAGCTTCCCCAAGGAAGTGACATATGTCACTTCTGCTCACATTTCATTGGTGAGAGCAAGTGACCATATAGCCATGCCTAACTTCAAAGGGGATGGAACAATGTCCTCCTATCCAAGGCCTGAAGTAAGATGAAGCAAACAAGGCATCCAGCGTGCAAAATCCTTCCTGCTTATGACCATACTCAATAATGATTCATTTTACTGATTCAAATGAAATATGGTTAAATTTGATAATGGCTATTCCAAACATTATGTTAATTGAATGAATACGTTGGTTGATTCCTGGACACATATGCTATTCTCTTCATTTAAAGCATTTGTCTGGAAACCTGTCTTAATTTACTCAGATAGTGAAAGTATTCACAGTGATAAAACCTTCTACTCTGAGGATTGGAATAATAGATGTTACTACTGATGAAGGTTTATCTGATCTACTAAAATAGCTTGTCATCCATTGAGTCTCAAATTACTCTTCATGTCATTTGAAGCAGTTAAGGCAGTAAACAATGTGTGATTGAAATGGAAGCATAATAATCATTGGGATGTTTTTTCTTCTAGGTGAGGTGCAATTCCTACAGACCAGAAGCTGCTCGAGAACAAATCCAAGTTGGTGCTCACAGCCCCCCTCAGTTTAGGTAAATAGGCATATGGGTGACACGAGTTTTTAACTGTGCATCTCCACATCCTCTCCTCCCCAGCCATCCCAGGGGTCTACAAATAGGTGATCTGAAAAACAGCCTGCATTGTGAACAGTGATAGCGTCATTTCACAGACCAAAAAAAAAAAAAAAAAAAAAAAAATCTGGCCAAGCAGAAACTAAGCGTCTTTTCTTTAATTAGTAGGAAGCTGGTTTAGCCAGTATTCTCTCACCTAAATTTTTGTAGTAGGCTTTTCTACACACCTCTACTATCAAGAGATCTATGAGATTGTACAAGACTCCAAAGGTAATTTAGAATCCAAATTATATCTTTAGTATTAATTCCCACTTATTATCTTCCAGTTTTTGAAAAGCAGCAATGCATGGGTACCATGAGTGCACCATGGGTGCTCCATAAACTGGCATGTTTGATTTACCCAACTGCCTACTTTTTAAAAATATTGACCAAAAAAGTCTTTTTTTAGATACAAATGAGCTCTTACGTACTGTGCCTTAAGACACCTAGAGCTCTGGTTTAATTTGTGTTGTAGAATATCCTATTTAATGCCTCTTGTTCTTTCATGCAGCCAGCCAACAGACATGAATGAGTGCCCGCTTACAGAATAGCTCTGAACACAAAGGAGGATATATGGTGGCATTTAGCTATTGTGATTCATATCTAGAGGCAAAAGTTTTACGTTTTAGCTTTTAGTTTGAGTCTTATTTTGAAACAGTTGCTTATATATGGAGGGAAATGAATTACCATCTTAATTGTCAGAATGTATAAAATATTAAGTAAAAATAAAATTAAGATTACTATTACCTACCCCATATTAAGTTTCTAGCATAGTTTGAGGGAAATTTTCTGTACTAAGGGACAGAGTTATAATAGTAAATCCAAGAAACACAGTAATTTGTATTTATTTGTTCTTTGCTTAGAACATATTATTTCTTGGTATCTTTATATATAATATTTACATGAATCCATTAGCACATTGTAGGAAAGTCATCTAAAAGTTCGATATGTTGAAATGTTATTCCCAAAACCTTGCCTTAGAAATTCTTAAGAAATTGACTCTAAATTACCCCATAGCATAAAAATCTGATCACTATGTTAGAAATTCTCCCCCACTGAACTAAACTGTCAAGAATGCTGACAGTCTCTAATAGACTAAACTGTGCTTCCACTGACAAATGATGCAGATGAAATCACACTGTAGATTAATTACTCAACAGATAAGTTCTTAGAAACTAAGTTCCTCTCACTAACTTGTTGCCTATAATGTTGGATTTTAACTGATAATTTTCAGAGTACACTTACCTGTCAGCTAAATTTGATCCTTAACACTTGCCCAGGGTGAGTCACACTGTGTGTGAAACCTGCATCCCCCCCGTGTGTGTGTGTGTGTGTGTGTGCGCGTGCATGTGTGCATGTGCACTCAATTGCTCAGTCGTACCCCGACTCTTTCATCCCAGCTGACACACAAGAGGTTATGGGGGTTTCAGATTACAAGCCGATATATTCATTCAAATGCCCACAGGAAACAAAATCATTAGGGAAGAAAGAGTCACTGACCAAGAATGCTGTCTCTAGTCAGCCTTTTGAACATACAGTTGAATAAGAAATAGATGATGGGGGTGGTTTTTTGCTAGATTGTTAGTGATGTCTGCACTAACTGTAGATTTTGAGTGTAGCAGAATTCACACAGTGGAAATACCACTTTCAAAAGGCAGGTACAATCAAAGTGCTGAGTAGGAATCTGTAGTCTTTACTGCGGTCAGACAGGGAACTTGCAAGAACACCAGATTTTGGAGCTAACTCCAGTAAAGCGTTACTCATCAGTAGCAACTAGACACCGTTCATTAGTTTACTGTTGCATGAACCAAATTCTAGGTAAATATGAGCCTGCAAGCGTAATAGGAATTTATAGAAAGTGTTTCTGTGGATTGAATGAGTTCTTTAAAGATAATTTAGAGATAGCAACAACATGAATGAATCTTACAGCCATAATACTGAGTGAAAGAAATCAGAGACAAAAGAGTGCATGCAGTATCATCCACTGATGTGAAGTTAAAAAACCGGTAGAACTGATCTATGGCCACAGAGGTCAGACTAGTAGTTATGCGTGGAGGTACTACTGTTAGGGCATACATGGGAGCCTTCTAGGTGCTGAAAATATCCCATGTCTTGATCTGGGTGGTAATAACATGGGTGTATACATGTGAACTCAATGAAGTTTACATTTTAAATGTGTATATGCTACGTCAGTTATATGTTTCATAAAAAGTTAAATTAAAAATAGAAAAGCTAAGTGTTGGTAAATTGTATAGTTTGTAGGAATTTGTAAATTTATAGCAATGTACCACCATATATACAATTTATAGGAATTGTAAACCCTACAGTTTATAGGAATTTAAAGATATTTGGAAGATTAATAGCATTTGTCTGGTTCCAGTCTCAGCTCTGTTAATTTTCTTGGAAATCTACTTAACCATTTTGGACTTCAGTTATCTCCTTGTAAATAGACTAAATGAATGGACTATTTTATCAAGCCATAGGTTGCTAGAGTTTTATTTAGAACCTGTTGATTTGTAAGAATTAAATGACATGAAATGACATATCTTTTTCAGGGTCAATGGTGCAGTTAGCAACTTTGAAGAATTCCAGAAGGCTTTTAACTGTCCATCCAATTCCACAATGAACAGAGGTGCAGAATCCTGCCGACTCTGGTAGTAGGACTGTTGGTTCCTACCCTCCTGAGGGAGCTGCGCGGTGCTCATCACCTACTGCTTTAGGCCTGTGTTCCCCTGAAGATGTTTATTTTGATGCATCTTCGGTATTTGGGTATTGCTTAGATCTAAACATTATTCAAAGTTGTAAGACTTAAAAAATGGAATACAAAAAATCAAATCACATATGTTTCTTTAGAAAGCCAATTAAGTCCCCAGGCTGCTTTTGTTAAAATGTTGTTTGCTGAATTGTTGCTATTGTCCATTTTAGTGTATAAGTTGCAGCTAAGTGGTATGTACCATTTTAATCTACAGCTTTGCAGGGGCCCTAGGTAGAATATATCCAGAAAAAAAAATCAGCCTATTACACTAGCAACCCTCAGTGGTGTGGACATGTGTGAGGCTTCGTGGGAGATCTTCCTGTGCTGTTAGATTTCCTGCATCATCCTTTCATAGCATCGATTAACTCTAAGGTGGTTAAGTCAGAAATACGTTGAATCCTCATTTGACAGTATTTGATGAAGTTCTGGCCTTCACTTTTGGAGTCTCTTGGGATGAAAACACACCTCATAGCTTGTATCTGATGTAGCCCACTGCCCTGTTCAAATCAGAATGAACAAAGCTGGCAAAAAAAGACTGCTTGGTGAAGGCTTGAGTTTATCAAATAGTAAGACAAGGCTATATCTGTAAGTCCCAGAAGAAGTCAAAACTCCTAGTCATGCAACCATAGGCATGGTAGGAAACAAAATCTCCAAAATTTCATCTATTCTGTTCAAACCTTGGCAATTATGTCATCTGCTAGATGCTTCTCTTCAGTCTAATTTCTGGTTGTCTTGTTATCCTCATATATGTGCATTCTCCTGTTTCTGAAATGAATAGGCATAAAAAAAATGATTTTCTAATTCCCCGTTAGGAGCGTATGGCTTTCTTTCCCTTGAGTGCAAAGAGACAAACCCCACGTTGAGGCTCAGTTACCTCTTTTAAAAATCCTCTTCGAAAAATGTCTTGATTAAAGCCATGTTAGAATCTATTGATTGAATTTAACATTCCCTGCATAGTCCAAAGAGACAGAATGTTTGCTCTTCAGGACTTCTTCTAAAGAGTTTATAAGAAAGAGCATTACTATGTTTTCGATCCTCAGAACTCTGTCCTTTCAAGGGAACTATTCCATGTCTTATTAGAGAGTGTGTGTGCAGGATAAAATTGTAACAGCCTTAAAGTGCTTACCTGGCATTTTTGCTTTTTAAAATAGCCATCCCCCCTTCCCATTATTCCTTGTACATGTGGTTCTAGGTCAATAGGAAAATCTCAAAAGCATAATGACAAATTCAGGCTAACCATAGGAAGCCATTTTACATCCCTGGGATTTGTCACTAAAAAATGTGTGTGTGTGTGTGTGCGCACCATGTCCTTTTGTAACCATGGGAACGTAGGGGAGAAAAATGCAGGGGCACCATCATGAGGAAAACAGTTTCAGTGCATTAGTCAGTGGAGAGTGATTTTCCCCTTGACTTCCTCCTCTCTGAATCAATGAACTCCTGAAGGGCAGCTACCTTTTCCTTTTAACCATGACTTGATATCATCTTAGTTTGCATTTTCAAAAAAGCAGTTAAGGGTGCTGGAAACCTCCATGTCTTTTCTCTAGAGGAATCATTCTGATTTGGTTTAGACTTCGAAGATTCTCCTTGTTTCATTCCTATATCTGGACATTTAAAATCAGCTGAAGTTTTTAAGGTTTACATAAACAGCATATTCCTTCTAGATTTCTCTTTTTAAACTCCAAATAAACACATTCCTGCCGGTCAGAGAAAGTGTTTGATAAAAGTGTAGAATTATGACTTTGGAAATGGGACTTGTTCAGTCACTTAATGGTTTAGGAAAACTGGTTGGTGAACAGTTGGGGCCTGCACAGTTTCTAAGTGATATGGCTACTTGTCTTGACCAACTTTACTTGATGTAACTCAGTTATACTGAAAGCTGTCGATAGGATGGCCGTTGTTAAAATAGACTCAGAGTAGCCCAAATCACCACGACTCACTGGGACAATTTTCTAGATTGAATTTCCAAATTCATGTTGCTGTTCAGATTTTCAGAGTACATTCTTATTGTCCCTTCTCTTCAATACAGACTAATAGAAAAGAGTCAGACACCGATTAAGTGGTGTAAGGAAGAAGGTAAAATGCGACTGGAAGTTGGGGGAGGGGAAAGGAGAAGCTGGCCTAGGAATATGACTCTGCAGAGAATCCAGGATTTTGGCAGTTCTTGCTAAGCACATCCATTGGAGGAGAGCCATAAAATTTTACAAAAATAATTATGCTAAATTAAAAGGAAATTAGATATTGAATCTCAGACTATGACTGCCATAGCACACTTCTCTGATTCATATACCAGGTATTCTGCCAGTGAACTATTGCCTGGGAAATGGAAGGCGTTAGGTTCTTGTGCAATTCTGCTGGTTTAGTCAAGGTTCTTATCTGTATAAAATGGTCTTGTTTGACTTATCATCAATGCCCAAAGTTTGTTGAGCTTTTTACCAACCACACAGCACTGGCCTCCTATTTCCATTTTTTCCTTTTATGAGATGGAGTTGGAAGCCACTACTGCAAGCTCAGGATTCATAAATTATCCTTAAGTTTATTCAGTGCCTTTCTTCAATGGAGCTTAAAGCATAGCACATAAATTTTATCTTATTTAGCCCTAGAGCATCACTAAGAAGCAACTAGGAACTGTAGCTTGCCACATAGGTTATGCTTGCACCAGATCAGTGGAGAGGTTTGAGAATGCTTCTCAAGTACCCCAGAGTCAGGAGAGTTAGAGCCTTTGTTCTTTGGGCTGCTTGCCTTTGCATTAACCTTCATCCCTTAGGTCACCCCATTTCTGAATACATTTGTTCCAGCAGTATTTCTATAATTACTTAGCATTTGATAGATTTCTTCCTTGATATTTTTAACAGTATGTCTCAGTTGCATATTAAATTATGGAAGAATATATGATTATTTCAAGCAACAACATTCTCATTGCCAGTGGTAGTTCCCTGCTGGTTCGAAGAAAGGTGTTCTTGGATTATGCATTTCATATCTAAATGGTCTTTGTATTTTCTTCCCTTACTTGTGAAACAATGTGAATGATCATTTTAAGGACAATAAAAAGTTGAAGATATTCTGTTTCCTTTCTTTTTAAAAATAATATTAAAATTGATTACATCCATTAACATACTCAGTTCTGTTTTAGACAATATTTGCCTAAAAAGTACACAAACCACTGTAGTGGACTAGGTTTCTTGGTTTAGGAAAGTGAGATTTGAATGTAGTAACTTTGTAGACAATGAGAGATTTGAGAGTTGGTCATTATATTTTCTTCCAGGACATAAGCAGATATGGTTTATTGCTTATGCAGTTATATTCCTAATGAGGAAAAGAGAGGCTTCTGAGGAAATTATCAACCATGGTATGGCTGGTCTTGCAAAAGTGACAAGGAACATTACAGTTACTGTCAAACCAAAGAATCTCTATTTTGCTGTCACCTTTCTTTAACCATCAAGTCAGATTATGGTCACTCATTCAGTACATAGTAACTGACTGCCATTTGATTTAAGTCACCGAACTAGCTGTATTTAGGCAGATCATCTGCAGTTTCATCTTCAGTGAACAGTCTGGTCTAACATGGTAAATAGACATGTAAATTGCTACATTCATCCTGTATCATGGCAAGTGTGATGAAATTCAGGGACATTGGGTTGTGATTTGGTGCACAGAGAAAGATTTATTCAATTCTCCTCAAGTGGATGCTATCAGAGTTCTCTCTACCCAGATCCCAGCCCTTTTACTGGGACCCTAATCTCACCTTCTGTGTGCTTTTTTTTCGCATTGGCTGTAAATCTCTAGGATGGCTGCCCTCATGCTACTGGAGCCTCTGTGCCCTATGTACTTCCAGAGAGCTGGAAGTGCCTGCCATTTTCATCCCCTGATGACCTTTGGACAATGAGTGAGTGGTGCAGGTCAATGAAAGCCTGCTTGCCTTGCCTGAGTCCAGACAAATCCAGAAGCATACCATAGAAATACTAACTTCCCTCAGGGGGCATTTTGGTATTAGACTGGCAGTGGAAGTAGAGTCCCCTGTTGATTATTTTAAACATCTTTCTGATGTATTCAAAGATGTGTAAACTACTGGTTTATAGTAGGTGTACCGCAGTGTCCATGTACAAGAGATAAACATCAGACAGACTGTAGAGCTGGTAGGTAATAAGTGTCTTAGTATGACCTGTTAGTGCCCCTCTGAGAGAGTCTACTCTAAGTTCTGAGCTGATCCTTGAAAAAAGAATTTTTGCCTGTAGGGTAGTGGCAAAAGGCAGGATATATAGAAATGATTGAGTTTATGAGTGATCTCTGGGGCCTGGACAGGAAGGACAGGCTTTGGGGGAATGGAGGCAAGAAGTCTAGAATCTCTCTTGCTAGGGTCAATTTGATAGATTTTATGAGATATTCAGTCTACTTCAATTTTTAAATGTATATCTTAGTGGACCTGATCAAAATTTGGAGGCTGATGTTTCCAGTTAAGCTTAAGGTATATACATGTCCCTCAAGTCCAATTGCTTTCTTTGTTAATTAAGATCACACTACATGTTGAAAGAGATCATCTCAATGGTTTAACCCAGTTTGAATTAATGTCTTGTTTTCATGACATACAAAATGGTTATTAACCATCAATGAGCTTCTCTCCTACAGTTATTGATATGGAGATCAATGTTCCTTCCATATGATTCTGCCATTTTCAATGCTATTGAATGTATGCTCATCTACACGAAGCTGGTGGAGGGGAAGAGGCTATTGAAGATACCTAATGGAAGGTTTGATCTAATCCAATAAGTTATCTATCTTACTTCTGCCCATATTCCGTTGACTAGCGCTCAGTCATATGGCCAAACCTAACTGCAGGGGAGGCTGGGATATATATAGTCTAGCTGTGGCCCCAGAGAGAAGAGGAAATAGGTTTGTCTATTATGTAGTGATACCAGCCATACCTTCTAAAATGAAATACTGTCCAGTAACATGGGGCTCTTCTGAATTCAGGAAATTGCTTTTGAGCATAGCACAATGAAAAATCTTAAATGCCATTGGTAGCCTGCATTTTATTCTGTAGGAGTCTTTTTAATTAACAGTTTAATTGGATAATTTAATCTCCTTTAGAATTGGAGATAAGAAAATGAGAATGAGATAGTCCCTGTGATCTGACAATACTGTGCTTCAATAAACACTCTAAAGTGAGCCCGGAAATGAGCGCCACAAAAGCATTACCATAATTTGTGATCAATGAATGAAAACCTGATCTACAATTTTAGTTATTTATAAATGGTTTAGCTACATGTTTCATTTGAATGGGTATTTTGTTTTGTTAATTGTCTCAATTAGGAAGATAACTTGAGTATAAGATTCTGTGACTATGCTATGGATTTACAGTATGGTCTAAGCTTTTAAAATATATCCCATTGAGACATTAAATAAAATATGAAATAATATGTGCTATGTCTTCTAGGATTTTTAGAGAATTTCTATGAAAATTATTTTTACTTCTGCCTTCATTATGAAAGGTTGATGCTGAGCCATGAAAGACGCCAGGACTCTTGGCCTCCAGAAGAGAGGAATTCTATCCGGGGCCAGTGACGAGGCTTGATTGCTCAGAGCTTTTGTATAACAAAATTTTATTAAAGTATAAAAGAGAAAGAGAAAGCCTCTGACATAGACATTAGAAGGGGACAGAAAGAGTGCCCCCTGCTAGTCTTTAGCAGGAAGTTATATACCTACTAGCAGGCTGCTAATTAAAGAAAGGAAATGTCTCAAAACTCAGAGAGTAACACCAGGCCCCTCACCCACAACATGCATTTTGAGATAACATAGGCACAAGGTGAGTCATCCTGGGCCATAAAACTATTAACACGGATCTTAAAGAAAGGTGGGTTTCCAAGCAAAGACCTAGTCTCATTAACATAGCTTAAGAGAACATTTCCATGAGTAAAACATACTTGTTTGTTGAGTAAAACATACTGGTTTGTCAACTGGGTTCTGAATCTTAGGCGAACCAACTTGAAGAAAGACAGAGTCTGAGGTAAATACATAGTTCATTAACAGCTTAAGAAAAACATTTCCATAAGATAAACACATTGGTTAGCTCAAGGTCTAAAAAAGTTAAATTAAGGTGGAACCAGGTGTCCTCATGGCAACACAGAATTTTTAAAGAAACCTCCTTTTAATTTTGTATAGAGAAGGGAAAAAATCTGACACTTAATAGTTTGTTT